CACTTCAGTCCCTATGGCTTGTTGGATCATGAAACCACAAGCAGGTTTGAAAATCCAACCGGGTATCCTCAGATTTGGGTGCCTGATGCATCTTCATGTAGGTGGCATCTGTAGCCAGATAGGAATCTATTTCTAATCAATACTCTTACTGGTCTGAACATTTATTCTGTTTTTTCCCAGGTTGCTATTATACAGCAGTCATTTATTTTCTCTTTTCCTCTTCCTGATCTTTCCCTCTTCCTGATCTTTCCCTCCTGGGTCAGTAACTTTTTAGCATGACCTTAAATATGTTAACAGAAAGATTTTGAGTTCCTCAGCCTTTTACCAATTCATGTTTCTTAATGTTTCAAGTGGGGTTTTCTGAGATTATCATTGATGTGTGTGATAGCTGCAGACCTGTCATTTACAGATACGTCAGAGGGGTGGAGTTGATATAAAACTGCACGCTGCACTTCCACACTGGTCCCCTTGCAGAGTTGCTGCACAATTGTTCCTCTGGAGTGTGAGACAGTTTCTTGTCCAGCACACAGGCTGAGAACCTGTTATGTTAGGGAAAGTGCAGGACACACAAAGGGAAGTAAGAGGATGTGCTTTCCTGGCTGGAATCTGGTGATCACGGCAAAATGTGGACAGATTTGGTTCACAGTAGTGTGCAGGGCAGGAAGCACAGGGTTATGGAAGCCAAAGGACAGGCATGTGACTTGCCTTTGTAAGGCCCAAGTGGCTTCCCAGGGTCAGTTGAATGTTACAGAAGACATGTATGGAAGAGCTGCTCAACCAGTTAAAATGGTGCTTGAAAATATTCTTTTTACATAAATTAAGATCTTGTTTGTCTACAAATAACAAAGATTTAAAAAATGACTGCAACATTGTAGAAGCACATTTTTCTCACCTATAATCAAAGTCCAGCAGTGATATGGGGCTCTATAGTGTCTGCCACCCAAGCCTGCTATCTGTGGCTCTGCCATGCATGGTGTATTAAGTGGCTTTTCATTGTTGGGACAAAATACCTGACATACACAACTTAAAGGAGGAAGGGTTTGTTCTAGCTCAGTTTCAGAGGTTTCAGTACTGGCTGGGTCCAAGGCAGAAATATCAGCATAGGAAAGCACAGTGGAGGAAAGCTGCTCACTTCATGGAAGCCAGGAAGCAGAAAGAGTTGGAGAGAGCCAGGGAGAAAGGGGCTGAGGACAACATATACCCTTCCAGCTTATACCCCAGTGACCTACTTCATCCATCTGGGCTCCCTCTCCTTACAGCTCATTGAATTTGTAACAGATTAGTTAATCCATTGATGAGGTCAGTGCCCTTGTGATCTAATCACTTCTGTAGGCCCCACTTCTGAATATTACTTTTTCGGGGACATTTCATATTGATTGTTTTGGGTTTTTTTGTTTGTTTGCTTGTTTTTTGGTACCAGGGATCGAACTTGGGTCCTTGAGCTTGCAAGGCAAGTGATGGAACCACTGAGCTAAATCCCCGGCCCTGGGACACTTCATATTGAACCCAAAATACATGGCTAACCTCTTGATCCAAAATACCTGCAAGAGTTCCAGCCAGGACATTATCATTCTAGGAAGCATAAAGGTGAAAGGGAAGGGAAAACAGCCTTTAAGGAGAGCTTCTAATATGCCATAATTTTCTCACTGACAAAACTTACCACATTATTCCACATAGCTGCAAGAGAGGCTAAGAAATAAGGTCTTCAACTAGATGGCAGCATTCCCAGGTAACAGCCAGTGCTGTTACTAAAAAAGAAAGGGAACTGTTGGGCAGCAACCACCTGTCTCTGGTGAAGTGGTGACTATGGGTGGAGAGAACTTTGTGTGAGCAAAGGAGGGAAGGAAAGCTTATCTCATCTGAGGGAATAAATAAAGTTAAGTAGGTCAATTTGGTTTAGCTTTTGGTTTGCTTTTGGTTTGGATAAGGCTGGGAAAATAAACAGATGCTAAGTCATGGAATATCTGCTAAACTGTGTCCTGCTGAGGACCTGGGATTTTATCCCAAGGACAACTGAGAGTGGCTGGAGGAGTTGTACCTGGGGTACAGAGGAAAATGCATGGGCAGTGAGGGCAGGGCCCTCCCTAGGAGGTGACCATCGCTTCTCAGGAGGAGTAGGGACTGCCTGGCCTAGTTGTCAGTGGCATCAGGGATGGGGAGAAATGAGCAGATTCCCAAGATGCTAGAGAGGTAGAACTGGTCAGATGCAAGTGAAGTGTAGGTGGCGAAGACAAAGATGGCCGACACAGGCTTCTCTGTGGATGTGATGCCATTCACCCTGGTGACAGAGAATGTGGAAGAATTTGGGTGGAGAAGGTGAGCTTGGTCTGGATAATCTATCTCCACTTACAGATTGGCTTGATCCACGTTTTAGGAGAATTGATGAGGTATAATTTACATACCATAATTCATTCAAATTAAGTGTAGTAGGAGTTGGGTGAGTCTAAGTAACATAGAGTTATGCAACCTTCACCAGGTTCCAGTTGCAGAAGACTTTTGTTGTTCCAGAATGCTCCCTCTGTGTCAAGTCCTTCCTACTCCTAGCTCCAGGCAATCACTGATCTGCTTTCTGTCAAATCTACTTTTTTTTTGGTACTGGGGGATTGAACTCAGGACCTTGCACTTTTGAGGCAGGTGGTGGAACCACTGAGCTAAATCCCCAGCCTCAGATCTACTTTTTAAAGAGTAGATGGAGTCAAATGAGTGCAGTGATTTTTCTGATGGGGGAAGGAGAGGGAATCGTGGTCCCTAGGACAATATTCTGGAATCACAGAGGGGGCTCTTTCTCATCACACACTGGCCCCTCACCCACTCAAGGGCTGGGTTTCCTTCCTGCTTCCTCCCCCTAGAGGGGAGTGGAGTGAATCAGGCAAAGGAGGATTCTTTAAGGGTGTTAGGGCAGAAGATGGTAGGGAAGTGTCGATCGTGTTGGGGTTTAGTAATTAGGTTGGTAGATATTTTATTTTATTATCAAGGGACCAACCCCAATTACTACTCCTTCTGTAAGATTTTCAAGTGCGGTTCAGCAATTTGCAAACTCAAAGGGTGCCTTGGCATCCTTTGATATCATAACTTCTCTTTTCTTTTCTTTTCTCCTTTTTTGACTGTGAATAATTCCACATGTAAACACAGATGGATAATCTTTTTTTTTTGCAGCAATGCACCTCCACTGAGTGGTTTGAGAACAAATCACTTTGAATGTCCCTGGTTTACCTAAGGAAGACTGTTTATTGGGGATCTTTTTTCTTAGTCATTGACTTTAAACATATTATAGGCATCTAAAATTTCTCAAATTCCATTTCAATTATATCTATCTTGAGTAATGTCAAGATTTCTTAATTGGTTGTGGATGCTATCAATGCTAGGAAGACTATGACCGCTGTTTTAGAAGTGAGATTTATGTGGGCACTTTTTCCTCAGCTCTGTTCATAGTCTCAAAGCATTAAGGATTCAGAGTGACTTCTGGGTGGGGACTCGATATATCATATCTCTATTTCTCAAAGGGAGTTCTCCACTGTTTTAGTCTCCCCCAATCTTTCTGTCTCTTGGACAGATAGGAAAGGTTAGATATTAAGCACTGTTGAAACCAAAAGCTTTAAAAACCGTCAGAACAAACAGTCTTCAAACTTGACTTTGTGGCAAGCCACAATTGTAGCTTGTTGAAATTAACACATATCTCTCCACTGGAGAAAGTGGCAAAAGTGGCTGCGAGGCATTCACTTATCCCACAAATCTTCGTTGAGGACCGACTTGTGGCAGGCCGGGCATTAGGCACAGAGAGAGGGTACAGCTGTGGACAGGACAAGACTGGGCTGTGCTACTGGGGCTGACATTCCAGCCAGCCAGGAAGTAAAGAGGAGTAGGACCGAGTCAAAGTGCTAAGTGAAAGTGCTGCTTAGTGACCTGGAGAGCAAGCTCAGCGGGGCTTAGGCTGAATCCTAGATGATGAGAAGGAGGAGCTGAGGTCAGGAGGAGGATTTCCCAAGAGAGGTGCAGCGTGGCATGTTCAAGGTGCCTCCAGGAATCTAGTGGCTGCAGAGGGGGAACTGGACTGCCAGGCAGGGTCAGGATCAGCTGCCTGTAGCCTGTGGCAGACATTTGCGTTCTCTGGTAAGGGCTGCGGAGGGCCCTGGAGAAGGGTCGTAAGCAGACGTGAAACACACCCTGACTGCTTCTACGGAATGACCGCTGGCTGTGGCATGAAGGCTGGACCAGGGCTGGGGCAGGAGGAGAGGCAGGGAGATGGGTGAGGAGGCTATTGGGTAATGGAAATGGGAGGACTGTGGTCCCGAGTCAGTGGTGGTGAGGCAGATGGAGAGGTGGGGCATGTTTTAGGGTTAGAGCTCTGGGGTGCAATTTGTGGGGGCATGTGTGAGGGGAAAGAGAGGAACCACATAGCATCAAGGGTTTTGGCTTGAACAGCTGGCTGGAAAAGAAAAATGCTTCCTGGAGTCAGGAGAGGAGAGTGGGCGGGGGTTCAGAGTTCTCTTTCAAATGTGTTAAGTTGAAAATATCTATTCATTCACTTGGAGCCATTCATCTCATGTAGAATTGTGCCTTCCACTTCAGACACCAAGCACTTCCACTAGGATCATAAAGGTAAAAAATCTAGAGTTCTTGCTTTCTCAGATTCCTAGTTGAGCAGAGGAGGTTGTGATACGAGGTAATCAGTGACACCAGAAAGAGGTGTCAGGGACCAGGCAGGCCCCCTGAAGGGCCATTCATAACACTTAGAACACAAGAGCTCTCACGCTCCCAGGGAGCACGGAGGCAGTTGGGTTCAACCACAAAAGGAATTCTTCCTGGGCACTAGAGATGGTGGCTGTAGGGTCTGTAATGCAGCCCTGGGGAAGGGGGGCTGGGGAAATGTGTGACCCTAGAGAGGAACCATGGAACCACCGTGACTTGGCATCTCTTTTAAACCTAGACCAAATTGAAGTAATAACATAGAACAAATATCATACATTTGTAAAGATGCACTATATGGGCAAATGTGCCCTACCACATTGGCCACTCATACAATTCTGCAAAGGAAAATGTAGTTTCCATTTTCTGGAGCTGTCTGTCCATATGCACAGAGGCCTGGAGAAGCTCAAGAACTTGCCTGTGGTCATTCAAGTGTTCCCAGGCAGATTTGCATTCCAGAAAGTCTCACTCTGAAGCCCACTGTGGGGAGAATAGAGAGGGACAGTGAGTGATATGTTCAGCGTGATCAGGATCCCATTTATGTTCGTGATGAGGTGAGGGTGCTCCTAACCACAGCCATGTATTCACACATATATGCCACATGTAGAACTTTTCTAGGAATAGTTTTTAAAGCAAAATACCTGAGAGGTTACCTTTGGAGGCTCAGAATAAAGGAGAAAAAACTTTTTTTTTTTTGGTGGTACTGGGAATCAAACTCAGGACCTTGTACTCACCAGGCAGGCGCGGTGCCACTGAGCTACATCGCCGGCCCCAGAAACTTTTAGTGATATGTTTATCTGTTCAGATTTTTAAAATATGAGAATGTATTAATTTCCAATTAAAATATTAAGGAGAGGTAGTTCATACAAGGGCATGACAGAACCCATGGACCACCTGGCTGAGCACCATTCTGCAGTGAGCTTTTT